TACATAGAGAGAAGGAAATCAAGCTGTTTGAAATAAGCCGCTAAAAGGACATACGCCTGACATCATAAGACATTTTTGTTTATAGTTACTGGCACCAACACTCACAACACTGCACGACCTATATTCCCAGCTCGACACTCCCCTGCCATCCTTAGATGCAGCCATAGCTAACTTCGCAGAGACACAAGTAAGTATTTAACCTTCTAGGCAGATGTTCTCAGTGACCTGCTTTAGCTGCGACCATGCGTGGAGTCTTTCCGTGAACTCTGCAAATCACATTCGGCCACAATTTTTTCCGCATTGCGGTCGGCCCAACTGGATCGAATGGCTAATTTCAAAGAAATCCCCGAAGAAAAGATGAAAGTAGCTACTTCTTATTATACCTCACTGCTTTATACTCTCGGTATTCTTGCCTCTAGGCTCCAGGTGCTTAATTTGATAACTATGACGATGAAAGGACAATGGGAACGAGATCTGACCAGTTCAGGGATTCCGCTTTGAGCTGCAATGCAAGTTTCCTTACTCGATGAGTGATCCGGTTAAAGGACTGCTTGACGTCGTCTATTTGGTTGTGGATCAGTTGGTGGCAGATTGTCTCTTTGCTGCTGAGCCGTCCACTAGTGCTATTCTGGTCACGAATAATCTCTTTCCCTTCAACTGTGACAGTTTAGCCCGAGCTGTGAATTTCAAGCATTTTGATGTGCAAATTGTCAGTGAGGAGACGGCCCAGGCTGTCCAGGTAAGAACTGTAGAAATTGAAGTCGTTGAAATTTGTGAAGTGTCGAAGTGTCCACGTGAGTCTGGAGAAAATCCCGAAAACAGTGCTCAAATCTCCCCGTCCGAACAAAGCTGTAGAAGAGGCAGTTTTTTACGTAGCTATGATGCGCTTAGCCAAAGAAAATGTTTAGAAACGTGCAAAAATGACGTTTGGTTATCTTTACAGTGCACATTACGGGCTTTCATATTCAGTTGTCCTCTTTTCTCTTCGAGTGACATAAATCGTTTTCTGTATGGATGTGACTAAGTCAGAACCGGACATTTTCAAACATTAACAAGAAAATTTATGCAAAATCTTCATTATCAGATAACGTTATAAGCATTCTTTTGCGTAACATGTCATGTGGACCATCGACCATCCCGTATTCCTGCACTGTTGTTACAGTACAAGCCAAACATCCAATCTTTCGAAAGCGGACTTCTCTACGAGTTTTTAGAGTACCTAAACTCGTTATGTGAGGCTGAAAAGGAGGCATTATCTGAGTCATGGTCCAAGCGGCTGCTCATCTGATTGATTCGTGGTTGATTCGTGTTTGGAAAATTAAACGCTTGCCTCTCGCTCGGACCGCTTTTTCCAGATGAATCAATGCGCTTACCGTACTCGAAGAAGCTGATTTGTCCTTTTGGCAAAGAGTGCGCCATCCCAAAGTTTGGGGTTGTACGGCTATTTCCTTCTGCGGTTTTCCACGCGTGACTTAGCGATTGTTCGTTGGAAAATTTCAACTATTGAATCTTTATGGCGGTTTGGTAGGCTCTGAGCACCTGAATTTCCCGGATAGCTGAGG